AGTTTGGGAGAGATATAAGGACTAGAGATATAAATGTATGACTTATCAATAGGGATATAATTGAAGTCATGCCACCCTGGAAAACAGAGTCAAATCATGGGAAGAGTATGAATGTGGAGTTTGACAGACATATTCACATCCTATCTCTACCATTTACCTGTTGTATGACCTGGAGCAAACTGCTTAATCCCTCCACTTTCTAGCATATAAAAAGAGGGAAAATAATATTATCCCTTAGTCAGGATTACATGAGTTGAGTATTTACTTATTTATTTATGTTTATTGAGGTATAATTGTAATATAGTATTATATCAGTTTCAGTTGTACAACATAGTGATTCAACATTTGTATACATTGAGAAATGGTCGTGACAATAAATCTCGTTACTGTCTCTCACCTTACAAAGTTAACTCAATATTATTGACCATATTCCTCATGCTGCACATTACATCCCCTGACTTATTTATTTTATAACTTGAAGTTTGTATTTCTTAATCCCCTTCGCCCATTTTTGCCTCCCCACTAACCTCTCTCCTCTCTGGCAACCACCAATCTGTTCTCCGTATCTGTAAATCTGGGTTTTGTTTCGTTTTTTAGATTCCACATATAAGTGAAATCATGCAATATTTGTCTTTCTCTGACTTATTTCACTTAGCATAACACCCTCAAGGTCTATCAATGTTGTAGTAAAAGGAAAGATTTTATTCTTTTTTATGATTGAGTAGTATTCCATTGTATATTTATATATACCACATCTTATTTTCCATTCATCCATGGATGGACATTTAGGTTGTTTCCATATCTTGACTATTGTAAATAATGCTGCAATGAGGATAGAGGTGAATATATCATTTTGAATTAGTGTTTTCATTTTCTTCAGATAGATACCCAGTAGTGGAATTGCTGGATCAATTGGTAGCTCGATTTTTAATTTTCTGAGGAGCCTTCAATTGTGTTCCATAGTGGCTGCACCAATTTACATTCCCAACAGTGCATCAGGGTTCTTTTTTCTTCACACCCTTGCCAATACTTGTTATTTCTCCTCTTTTGATGAGTCATTCTGAGTTGAGTATTTAAAAGACCTATCATCTTTAGATCTGCTTTTGTGTTTTGGTGGCATGATTCCCAGTAAAAAATATATTTATTTTCCAATCCATTATCTTAAAAATATATAGTACACTCTTTTTTATAATTCTTTTCCTTTGGTTCTATTTCATTAAAATGATATTGACAGTGATCCTCTAAACTGATTTCATGACCTATAAACAGGTTGAAACCCACACTTTGGAAAACACTGGCCCCAACCAGCATGCTATATTCATATCACACCATTACTACTCACTGTTCCCTCAACTTTCATTTTTATAATTCCCTCTACTTGGGCTGCTTGTTAATATCCATATTATTCCTTGATGGTTCAGAAGAAATGATAAACATTTACTTCCTCTACTGTACCCATATAACATTTTGTCTATAACAAAAGATCTATCTATTATCCAAATAGATTATGAACTACTAGTTGATAGGAAATAGGTGTTACCTATGTATCCTGGTGAAATGATTTGTTCACAAGAAGCATAGAAAAAAATTTAAATTATTATTGTAGAGGAAAGAGGAAAGAGAAGAGAATCTTGCTGAGCGTCTACATCTAAGGCCCTGCTCTGGCATCTTCATTCTCCCTTCTTCTCTATATGCCAAAGCTTCCATGGAATTTTTAAGGGCAGAACATCGTCTCATTATTGGGGACACAAATACTTAGGCCACTAAATTTTAGTGCATAGTGACATAAGCTTCTTCATGCTGGGGGGTGAGAAGGTCTGGAGGGGATAAAATAAATTTGAGGAAGAAACTAAGATGTAGCCAAGACTTAGCTCTGGGTGAAATAGAAAATTTCCTACCTGAATTGCTAAGTGACAGAATCCAATAAAGGCAACCTGAAATAAATTACCAGGGCAAGTAATTCATTTTAAATTATTAAAGTTTATTTCATTTATTTCAGACCCTGAAAAACTTTTCTTTGACGGAAATGACCCCTGGCAACAGTGACATTCTGACACCATGCATGATGCACACTCTTGGGAAGTCTAAATTTCATGTCACAATGGCTCTGTTCAGATTACTGGTTTCATCATGACTGTAAGCCCAATTAAACCACTATTGAAGGTTCTAATGGTCTTCTGTCCACTTTGTAAATCATCATAAAGAATACTAAGTCAACCAAATAAATTTGCCTCTATGTGACTCATTGCACAACCAGAGGCATGATATCAATGCACAGGAAAAATGAAAAATAAACTTTTTGATAACAATAAATTTTTTCAGACTATCCTTATATATGAATTTTGGACTACTCAGTGGAGGGGAAGACAGTTCAATGGATCTCATAAAACGAACGTCAGGCAATTTGTTCCCTGAGTAGAGAGGAGAGGTCGAAGCCCCAGAGTCTAAATTCAGGTCTACTCTCAAGCAGATGTCTGAGTATGATCTGCGTTGGTGGTCAGTATGGTTTGGGTTAACCTGCATGCCCTACCCTGGGCCTCAATTTATTTATTTCAAAATGAGATGATTGGACGTTTATTTCTTACATGCCTTCTACTATAATGTTTATTGATGTTCTGCCCTTAAATTCCTTTCACCTCAATTTTTTAACCTTAAAAATGTGCAATGTGTTTATAAAGTTCTTTGATGTCCTTAAATGTTATTCAACATGATAACAGCACAATTCACTGAGCCCAAATTTTATCATTTTAGTTTTGCCTCAAAGGCCAAGTTTTATGACAGCTTTAATTTGCATCACCAGAAGCTGATTTAATAAAAATGAAGGGAATCCTTTTGGAAATAAATTAAAATTGGTAGGGGAGGGCAGAGAACCTTATGACAAAAAAACAAAAAACAAAATAACAAACAAACAAAAAAACCCAGGAAGCTAAACTTAGAAGAAGTCAAATGGGTCTGAGTTCTAAAGAATGTTGTGGTCTTATTAGTGCTCAGAAACTGGCCAGGCTTTTAATGCACTGAAAGTAGACGTTTCTAATGGTAATTTCCCAAATACCTGGCATCTTGGCCCAATACCCATTGTACCATTTGCCCCATTTCCCTGAAGTGTAATCCACTGCAAGGCAATTAGACAAACAGGTACAGAGCACCATCCATCCTGGAGTCAGGTAGATTCATCTTTGGAGACAACTCCAGTGTATGGGATGTCAGACCCATGACTTAAATGGAAAACTATTGAAGACCATTTCACAGAGGAAAAGGATATGACATGAATGAGCACTCCTCATTTTGGTCAGGAGAAAGAAGTGGAAAGTCAAAGAGTAGAAAGACTGGGGGACTGACACCTAATGTGGTATGATGAACAGAAGGTTTGTCTTTGACAAATTCCTTTATGATTGTCTTCCTGACTATTAAAAGCTCTATTCAACCCCTCTTCACAAAAATATTCTGACAAAATGAATCCTAAAATTCTGACTTTTAAGAAATTTTGTAATTGTACTAATAACAACAGCTATTTCTTGATTACTATTACACCAAGGACTGGGGATTACAAAAATGAATAAGAAATAGGCCCTGCTTTTAGAGAACTTACTGTCTATGGGTTTGAACTGTTGTAGTTATGACAAAAATAACAATAATCATCAATTATTCACTCATACCAGCCAAGCACTGTGCTCAGCGGGCAACACGCATAAGCTGCCTAAGTTCCCTCCAGTTCACCAGATCCCCTGTCAGTGAGGAGATCTTGCTCTGTCCATGTATCATCTCCCAGAAAAATGAACCTAGCAGAAATTAAGACAATAGGCAGAGATATTCAGACAACTTCAAGACTGTCTACAGTCAACATCAAGAACTATAGTCAATAGTAAAACAGTGCAGTAACCAACCGGAAAATGCAGGAAACTGTCTGAATCACCTTCAATGTACCCTGCTGTACAGGCACTGTGACACTGAAAACCACGATGCAGTATTCCCCACATCCGGCATTCCAACAATGACTCAAGGAGATGAATGTTATTTAAATGTTTTAAGACTCTCTTGCTAGAGACCTTGCAACACATTAAACTGCAAAACTTAGGAAGACATCATAAGCTTCTGGATTTCATTACCAAAATGTACATTTTGATCTAAAATTAAAAAAAAAAAAAAAAAACAGATTGACTTTCCTTGTAGTATTTCACAACCTTTGAGTGCAGCATTAAAATGCTTTTCTTTTTTCCCCTACCAACTATAAGCTTCTGTTTTCTTACCCTGGGCGTCTGAATCTTTTATATGCTTGGGTTCTATTCACTGCCTGTTATTCAGACATTGAAATCCCAAATGTTAATTGTTCTTCCAAGTACATTGACAAAACAGCAGCTAAATAAGGGTAGACCAGACTGTGGTAGACTCTGACATGCATTTATGGAACAATGGGGCTCTGAGAGACAGCCTTGTAGCTCACGGGAAGACATAAGATGTGCTATTTTGACTGCTTCATAGCAGAATGGGGAACACACGCACACAAGGGAATTATGCATTTTACTTAGTTTTGCCCAAAGTCCTCAAGGCAACAGAATCTTGTGATGTCATCATGAACTTTCTTTTTCTCCATTTCCATTGACACAAAGGCTAAAAATTTCTAATGACATCACAAAGGAAAAAGGAATCTACTTTGCTTCCCTAAGAAATCTGTTACCTTCAATGAGACTTGTACAAAAATGCAAGAATCCTTCCTGACAGGGTGTATGTCACTGTGCTGAGGCACAGTGGGTGACACCCTCCCTAAAGCAATTCAAACCAGCCAAAAGAAAGGATCCACAATTTAGGTTGGATAAAAAAGACATGCTGAATATTGAGCCCAACAAATTTTCTTTTTTTAAAGAAGGAAATCATTTAAATATATATTTCTTCAGGGACATTCAAATTTTTACTCATGTCTGGTTTCCGTGTTACCAATGTTTTTGTCATTTTATGAGTTGGTCACAAAAATCCAGAGGAAGGTGCAGGAAGCCTTCACTTACAGGAATGCAGTGCAGCCCAATCTTTTGTTTTTAAGGTGCAGTGATTTCAGTCTCTAAATGTAACTTCAGGCAGTCTGAAAAGAAACAGGTTAAAATCTCTTTCAGTTATAATTGGTATTTCAGATTTAATTAAAAATTAAACTTTCATAATGTTTCACCATCCAAAGCAATGCATTATCAGTCAAGCGTGGCTTTTTTTTTCCCGTTAAGAGAAAAAAAAAAAACCCTCTTCCCAGAGTAGTTTTTTAATGAAAAGAAAAGGATCTAAAGAGGAAAAAAAGGCAATTCTGAAAAACAAAATATGCCTCCATGTTAAGGACTTCATAATGATACGACTAGAAGCTCAGTGCCTCTGAATTTTTGCTCTATGCTATCTGATTTAAAAAACTCCTAAACAAAATTTCACAGCCTAAAGATTACATAAAATGTTAATTTCAGAGAATAAAGACGAAAATCTATGATCTGAATACACATGTTCAAGAGAAATTCTGCCTGCAAATAGAATTGGAAAAAAATGTTAGATCTACTGCTTTCAAATGACCGAATTGGTGATGGGCCAGAGAGCGAAGAAGAGGTAAATGGACACATTTAGCAATAGAAAATGCCCATTGCAATGTAGTGTGGGTTTAGTGTGCTCCAAACTGCATCATGTCGAATATCGTGTCTCCTGCAGCCACTGCTGTTTGAAGCAGCTCAGGAAGATCATTGAGGTTTGAACCAGACCTTCTGGTTTAAATAACTGTAACCATATTTTATAAATGTATTTTTAATCTTTGAATTAAAAGCCCAGGCATTAAAATCTCCAAGTATGTCACAAATATTTGGGCTTAAGACGTCATACTGTTTTTTTCAATCCTTTCTTTCTTCATACAACACCATCTATAAATAAGATAATAGTTACAAAAAACAGACTGGATGAAGTCATCCCTATTTTTAGTTTCAAATAACTACACAACAAGATTTAGAAAAATATATACTTTTAAATGCAAAATGTAGATAATACAACTACCTTTCTTTTATTTTACAGCATGGCAGTACATTTTTTCTGTATTTATAGCTCTAAATGTGGGATGTTTATGTTGTCCACCTTCATATTAGTGCAAGGTAATATTTTAATATCTCCACATGTGAGAGCATGACCATAAATCATCCCTGAAGTTGCATCTATTATTAGAAAATGCATCGAGTTCTCACTTACGAATTGTTTTCTTTTTTCCTTGTATTATATGGAGGAATATTTTGGGTATTGTGTCTCTTTGATGTATATGGATTTTAAATGCAAACTGGTTCAGATTCACTGAATCTATCCATGAATGGATCCAAAAAATTCACTGACATTGACTAACTAAACTTTTCCCCTGCTTCTCACATGCCAGAATTAGACTAAAAATGCACCAGTGTAAAGACAGAAATTATGGAGGCGTCACCAGGGACAACTGAATGAGAGGAGGGGAGTGCACATATTTCCTTATAAGGCAACAAAACATTCATAGAAGAAACTGACAAAAATAACTCATGCTCAGAAATTATATGAAATAACAATAATCTCCGATAAATGATTCAGAAATCTAAAAACTGCCCACCTCTCTATAAATCTGAATCACCAATTGGTATTGTTCTACTCACCGCTCAAATGTGGTTAGTGAAACTGATTCACTGTCTAGTTCAGACAAGAAAAGGTGATGGAAACTAGGCTGCATATTTATACATAAACTATTTAACTGACAACTAGCAGTTCAATTTAATCGGTTAGATTTCCTTTCCTTTAATTCACCAGATGTTGAGTGAATTGAACTATCAGTTCAAAATAATAAAGTCATTTCTATGAATAGACAGTCTACTAAGCTACATTCTCCTCCTCTCCTCGTGTCATTCCTCCTTCTCCTCTTTGACCTTTCTCTTCACTTCTCTGTTTCTTCCTTACTTTCACTTTCTTCCTTATTTATTTTTTCCCTCTCTCTTTTTTTTTCCCCTTGGTGAGGGTAATGAAGCTCAAAAATAACATCTTGTATCCTGTTGAGGGAAACTTGGTCACAACTATCCTTCCAGATGACAAACTCATTCTTAAATGTCTGTTTCCCAATCCAAAGAAAACAGAGCAATTGAGAAAATAGAGACACAACATCACTTACCACTACCAATAGCACCGCTTTTAATTCCCATGCTACGTTCATCACAAGGAGGACTGAAGTTTATTTACATTATCCTCTAACCTCAAATAGGACCACAAATAAGACTAATAACAGGACTATTTTGTGGCACTCAGGCAAACGGCTGGGCAAAACAGATGGATCTTACTTTGCGCCAGGACTAAAAAAAATACAGTCGCCAACTCACTGTTGGCGACTACGTATCTTGGCCCAAAGATGGACCTGGAAGTGGGACCAGTTGTCTTTGATATGAATACTGTTCCTATTCATATCTGCCTCATGAGAAAATCATTAATTCTGTCACTATGTGGGGTTAAGTATTGGGTAGAAACTGCTTGGAAGAATGGTCGTCAAGGAAGTGAAATAGTCTAAAGGCATGTTGGATTAAATTAAGGAGAAGAAATTTAGGACTAGGACCTTATTTTTTGCACTATTGTCTACTTTTAAACTTTCTGCTTTTTCCAAGTTCAGTACTGTACACTGAACCCCCCTTTAAAATTGTAGATTTCCAGAGTACGTGTCATCAATGAGAATAACTTTCTCTCAATATTTCAGGTTCCAAAATCTGTTAAAATTTTTTCAAGTCACCCAGATCAATCTCAGTCATTATTAAAATTGACCACCAGTGTCAGACTTTTTTAATCAGGATTAAACTATGTAAGGCTTTATAGATCACAGCCCACACCCAGATACGCTGGGAAACAGCTCAGTAATCAATGCAAATTACAAAGCCCGGAAGAATGCTTCTCTTGGCAAGACTCTAGCAAAAGAGTTGTAAATTCTGCACTAGTTAAAGATTCTGAATGGCTTTCCAGAGAAGCAGTAAATGCATTATATTACAGTAACCTATCCTGTAAGTCACAAGGCCAAAAAACAAAGCCCCCAGACAATAAAAAAACCCGAAAGGGAGTAAGGAACTATAGATCTTAACATTGACTAGGAACAAAGGGCTGCTTCTGACCACACTCTACTTTTTAAAATCCTGACATAGATAGGAGTTTAGATATCACCAGGTCACAAAACTTCAAGGAAAGAACAACAAAGCACTCCAGTTCAGGCGGTCTATGCTAAGTCAGGCACTTGTCTTAATGCTCTCCCAACTATTCAGCATCGATTTTATCGTGCTCAGAGTTTTTTCAAGAGTTCACTCACCTCTCTATGATTTATTCATTCTGACACTGTTCAGATTTGACTTTTAAGGGACAAGCCCTGTCTGTGGTCAGCATAAAGCTCAAATTATAATATTTTAATTATTTGTCTTAGTCCCTTTTTTCTTTTCACTTAAAAAATTTTATTATGAAAAATTTTAAAGATATACAAGACTAAAGAGCACAGTAAAATTATCTCCCATGTACTCATCACCCACAGTTAATGTTTTTTTCATCTATACTCTCACTCACTTTTTCTTCCACCAGATCATTTTAAAAATAATTTTCCTTTTCTTAATTTTAACTTTTTATTTTGGTACAATTACACATTTATGGAAAGTTGCAAAGATAGTACAGAGAATTCTCGTAATTCCTTCACTACTCTCTCCTAACATTAACATCTTACATAAGCACAGTAAATTTGGCAAACTAAGAAATTAACATTGGTACAATACTATTAACTAAACCACAGACTTTACTGCGATGTTATCAGTTTTTCCGCTAATATCTTTTCTCTGTTCCAATTATCTGACCCAGGATACCACACTGCATTTAGTTGCCATTTCTCCTAAATCTCCTCTGATCTGTGACAGTTCTCAGTCTTTCTTTGCTTTTCATCACCTTCATTGTTTTGAAGAGGAGTGGCTAGATGTTTTGTGGAATGTTCCCCATCTGGATTTGTCTGATGTTGTCTCATAATTAGGCTGGGATTATAGTTTCAGAGAAGAATGAAAAAGTATGAAGTGTTCTTATAACATCACACCAGGGGGTATATGATATCAAGATGACTTGTCACTGGGGATGTTAATCTCGGCCATTTGGCTAAGGGAGTGTCTGCGAGATTTCTCTTTCCTTAATTTTAATAAGCATAATTTCACTTTTACCAGTTTACTGAAGTATAATTTGCAAAACATAAATTCACCCTTGTAAGTGTTCGACTTACTGATTTTAAGTAAATTTAGAGTTGAGTAATCATCACCACAATCCATTTTATAACATTTTTATCACCCCAAAAACATCCATTGTGTCCCTAGGCAGTCAATCCCCACTCTCAACCCAAGCCTCAGACAACAACTAATCTGCTTTCTGTCTCTAAATATTTACCTTTTCTGGACATTTCATATAAGGGCAATCACGCAATACGTGGTCTTTTGTATGTGGCTTTTTTCATTTATCATAATGTTTTTCAGATTCATCTATGTTTTGATATGTAGCAATAGTCTATTCTCTTTTATTGATGAATAGTATTTCATTGCCTGGATATACCACATTTTGTTTATGCATTCCTCAGTTCATGGACATGTGGATTGTTTCCAGTTTTTTACTACTATGAATAGTGCTGCCAGGAACATTCACTTATATACAAGTCTCTGTGTAGACATATGTTTTCATTTCTCTTAGGTAGATACCTAGAAGTGGAATTGCTGGGTCATAAAAGTAAGTTCATTTTAACTTTTAAGAACTGTCAAGCCATTTTCTAAAGTTGTAGTACTATTTTAGATTCCCACCCGCAACGTATGAGGGTTCTGATTTCTCTGCATCTTCACCAACACTTAGTGCCTGTCTTTTTAATTACAGCCACTCTAGTTGGTATAAATTAGTATCTCACTATGGTTTTAATTTACTTTTTCCTAAAGATTAATGATGTTGAGCATCTTTTCATGTGCTTATTAGCCCTTCCGGTATCTTCTTTGGTGAAATATCTATTCAAAAACATTTTTCCCAATTTTAATGGGGTTGTCTTTTTGTTACAGAACTGAAGAATTCTTTATATAT